GGGTGGACCGCTAAGGTTTCACTTTTTCAGGTAAATTTTGCACACAGTCGGCAACAAGACGTCCACCAAAACTTAGGTTTTGTCTTGGTTTTGTCTAGACGCTTTTGCTCCGAAGGCCGCGTGTGATTGATAACCGCTGGAAGATGTGGGTGGAGCTGTCAAGGAATTTCTGTCACCTCAGTGACATTATACGACCCCCGCTTAGAACGAATTCATAGTATGAAAAGCCGACAGTCGTTTTCTCCCCTCACACGCATGAGGCTCGCGCGCCTCACACGCAAGGATCGCGCTTACGGCGCAAACGTCCGAAAACGACTGTTTTGCAGTCTATAGTCTTGTGAGCAATCAGGCTATCGCCGAATATTGTTACTGTTCCACGAACAAGAAGTCCAGGAGTGGATCCAGGAATTCCTGAAACGGGCGGGGGGNGGTTGTACACTTTCACTTTCGACGCCACTGCGTGGATGGCGACCACCACAGTAGGGTCCGGGATCTAGTGCTCGAAAAAAATTCCGATTTTACTCTTTAAAACACTATTTCCAGCATCTCTGACACTTGAAAAAAGTTTGTGATGGCATGATATAAGATCTGGACTTTCCCTTTTATCAGCCAGAAAATCAATAATAGTGTAATCATAATACTGTAGTTGCCAAATGTACATTATCTGTTTTTTTCTAACTTGACAATCAGTCAATCGGTGGAAGTGAAACAAATTTCGTAAAAATATTTTATTCTATTATTTCTATGGTGAGTCAATGAAATAACAAATAAAATGCCACTCAAAGTGGAGGGGGAGGAGTTGTAATCCCCTAAACCCCTCTCCTAGATCCGCTTCTGAAAGTGCACTATAAAGATATTTACCTGGTAGAGAGACTCCATCATGAAATAATTTGTAGGCAACATGCCTTGTCATAAATAAAATTTACTCTATGTATAATTCTCTTTTAGGATCGCGGACTTCCAGAAGGGAGAAATGATGAAGACCTCACATCCCATGATAAATCTGAGAACCAGCTGAATGAATCGAAGAAGATACTTTCTCAAGTGCAAGCTTTTGAGCAAGCAGCCACCACTGGAAACGACGAGGAACGAGCCAGCGATACAAGGAAAGAAACGAGAAAAGAACCAAAGAAATTAAAACACATCTCGTTTCACAATGCTTCATCACAACTTGAAAGCATAGCAGCGCGTAAAAGACGCGAGGAGGAGATCAGACCTCTTGGTGGCGTTGTTAGGGTTGGTATTCAGGGCATTCCCAAATAGCGATGAGTATTTAAAGG